CAACCGGTTGAATAAATCAATCTATAAATGGCACTCTTCATAAATATACTCTCTCATAACATTAATTTGTGTTGAATAACACGAATAGTCAAAGATATCTTAAAAGTCCATGGTGTTATAAATTAAAAAACAGAGGGAGTACTATACAAGAAAAGACATGCTATTTAAATTTTAGAAACTCCATTGTTGCGATACAATATATTCTCATAAATTCAAGACTGTACGGTTTCAAGTCTAATTTACAATTTATATGTTACAAGGGTAATTAGAAGAAAATCATAATCACTGTCAAAACAATCCCAAATAGATTATTGACAAAAACAGGTTTAGAATAGAATCAAAGAATATTTCAAGAAAAAAAAAATCACCCGCGTGCAAATATTCTTTAACAAAAATTCAAACAACATTATATTAAAAGCCCGCGCATGTGCGCGGGCTATCTTCCTAGTTTCAGTTAAAACCTGTACAACTCGAGTTCTTGGTGTCTCCCTTTCCGACAAACTCCTCTCATTTGACAATTTTCTATCATAATTTTCTCCTCCCAACTTATAGTGAGACATGACGAGCTTATATTGTGGGTTTTACGAAAAAGGAGTTTCCAACATCTACTATTTATTGGCTAGCGTACTTGCGAACAACAGCAAGTCCAACCCATATTGAGTTCGGATCCATTAAAATTAGCAAGGCGAAAAAGTCTAGCTCCATGGATTTTTAGTTTCAAGCCACATGCCTTGGATCCATTTTCTGCAAGCTAGCACAATTGCCTGTTTCATGTTGAGCTTATAAGCTGTAACTTCGTTGCAGTAAAAAAGACCTTTGTAAGAGAGCTGTGTTGATGGATCAAGCAAATATGTCATGGTGATCCAGAAACTTTGTTTTAATAGTCCTCATGATATTTAATCAATGAATTATTAATGTACCAAGCATTATTGTCGCACCAATTCAGTTATTATTTTTAGGTATGGGGGCAAATAGAAGCTAGCTAACGTTCAATCAAATTTTCCTGCTACTAGACTGATTATCGATGATTTTTATAACTGTTCAATCATTTATACCCCTCTGCAAATAGAAAAAGAACAAATGCATTGTTCTATTCCATGTTTTAGAGGAATGCGTCTTTCAATGCAAAATCAATGCCGTATATTTTTATTCAAATATCAGACTATAATTAGAAATGTTAACACATCCTACCGATTTCTCAGGTTGTTTAGAACAGTATTTATATTTGTAAATAGTAATAACCTCTGCCACACATTTGGCCTTCAAAATTCAATTTCCTTTCTAATTAGTAACTCAAACTCATCCCCTGCAGCCATTTTCCTCGTACAAGGCACTCGGTTCTTTCCATGCCCGGAGGATGAACGCACAGGATCTGAGAAGATCAACTGTTGAACGGTGATTTCCCGGTGCTGTCGGAAGAAAGGCAAGCCAAAGGTGTTGAACAGAAGATCAGCTTGTTCAGTGCAATAGAATCATACATGCAACTATACATGTTCCATGTCCAGGTAACTGAAGTGAAACGGTTGTACCAAGGTGTAGATTATGTCATCCTTGTTGTGTCAGAGTGGTTGAACTAGAGATTCTATACAGCTAGTATTCCCAGCACCTCCCTTTCCTATAAGATACTATAATTTGGTAGTTTGATTCGATGTATTCTTTCTCTAATATTCTTGTTGTTTCTGTAGGGAACATTTCTCCCTCTTGAGGAGCTTATATATTGGACTCGCAAAAAGCTTGGCCAACATGCATAAGTGTGAAATATATGGCTGCTGAATTTATTTGAACACATATAATTAGATCAGCCTGCCTGCAAGAAACTATTAAAATGCACATAATTAGTACTATCCTCATGACTGAAATACTCTCTCCATTTCATATTATAAGTCATTTGATTTTTTTTTCTAGTCAAACTTTGTTAAGTTTAACCGAGTTTATAAAAAAATTAACAACATCTAAAATAAGAAAATATTATCATTAAATCTAACATTGAATATATTTTTATAATATGTTTGTTTTGTGTTGAAAAAACTACTATATTTTTTAATAAATTTGGTTAAACTTAAAGATGTTTTACTATGGAAAAAAGTCAAACAATTTATAATATAAAACATTATAATAGACAACTACTATATCCACTTTTTTATTATATGACATCGCTGACCTTTTAAAGATACGTTTAACCATTCATTTTATTAAAAAAATATAATTCTTATTTATTGTATTGCCATTCAATTTATTACCAAATGATCTATAAACATGACTTAATATTTTTTTATATATGCATAAAAATTTTAAATAAGATAAATTATCAAACGTTTTAAAAAAGTCAACGATGTTATATATTAAAATGGAGGTACATACTACATAATTTTCTCGGTTTTGTATCAACAAGACTGTAAAGTAATCCGTGTGTGTTTCACCTATCTGCCTAGCCTTTCACATTCTGCGTCGTCCAGTACATCGATGAAACTGAAAATGCCATGAGCTAAAAGCCAGCAAGGTTGTCCATGTCTCTGCATGATGTTCAGAGCACGCTAACGATTACGTTGACGCTACGCTTATGCACGATGAGTGCAGTGCTATTCCCATAAAAATGCCATGCTTGCAACGCCGTGCAGCCTGATGGATGGTCTGCTCACATTGTCGCGGTATATTACCCTAAAAAATGACAGTTGCCGCATCATGTAGCATCTCCTTCATGATATGTACAGATTGGGTTCCCGGTGTCTCTCTTTCCTACAATCTACTCTCATTTTGACATTCCTCTCTACCATAATTTTCTCCACTAGCTTGCTCCCTGGCTTGTAGTGAGACATGATGAGCTTCTACTGTGAGTTTTACTACAGAGAGCATCTAGCCTTCTACTCCATCCGTCACAAAATATAACAACTTTTAGCCCTCAGGATTTGTTCCAAAATATAACTACTTCTCTAGCAACATTCTTTTCCCAACCAATCACAACCCTCCACCATTCACTTTTCCCACCTACCTCCACTACTCATCTAATCACAATCCTCCATCATTTACTTCTACCTACTTTCTTAATAACCGTATCTAACTCTAAAACTTTTTATATTCTGGGACGAAAGGAATACTATTTATTTGTTAGCATACGTACGGACATGAGGTGGAAAAAAAATACTTACAACTCTTAAATGTGGTAATTAATTATTTGTTATTCGGGCCCAACACTTGAGGGTCCGCATGTCATTGACATATGAGAGTCTACGTGTCATTGACACATTGATGACAACTAGTTAAAATGCCAAATCTAAGAGTAATAAATAGTGTCCAATTCCTGGGCCAAACCAACCCATATTGAACTCCACTAAAATTAGCACAGTGAAAAAGTCTAGCTCCATGTCGTAGATTTGAGCTACATACTTTGGCTCTACATCTACATGTAAAATGCTGCGTTATTCAATTAGCTTAAGTCTCAAAACAAATTACAAGAAGTTGAAAATTTCCTAGCTACATATCAGACAGATCTATCATCTAAGGAAGAGGAGTGCACATGATAAGGGAGAATTGCTAAGATGACTATAGTAGCCGTGGCACCTTGTAACTACTGACCTGACCAGCTAAAGTTCCTAGTGCCTCCCTTTCCAACCAGTTCGATATCCATCCTCGTTTGCCCTGAATTCCAACTTGATCACTCATGTTGCGATCGAGGGCCTGAACTGCAGAAAATGGTGAACCCTGTTTTTTTATATCCTAGATTGTGAAATGCCCAGCATATATACATGCACCATTGTTTCCAGTTTGTAATAAATTGCATGTGATAAATGGTTCAATGCTGAACTTATTATGCACTGGATTGGAAAGGTGAACCTATATCACTGTATCAAATTGCAACCTAGCTATCTATTGGCTTGTATCCACTACAGCAAAATATTCTCCTGTAACATAGCCATATAAGGTATTGCAACAATGTTTCACAACTTAGATAACTGTGCATCAGCGTTACAATCATAATTACAATATAATGGGTATTAGACCCTATCGCTAGAGTTTTGTTACTAATTAATGGTACAGTTCAACATTACATAGTTTGGCTCAATTTTGAATCTCACAGACAAAAGAGAACAATTACAGATTCAGATCGTGCAAAAAGCTGATTGGATTTGAGAGATGCACTGAAAAATATTTCTTATATATGGTCAGGTAAATAATATTTCTATTCCTTCATATTGGACACATGTAAAGCATTAGAATTTAGAATCCAGTGTTGTGTTGTATACTGAAGAACTCGAAATCCCTCCTTGAAGATTGTTATAGCTATAAGCTCGAGCGCCGTGCTGTATAGCTGAATGTGACGCTTCAGCACATTAGTAAAAGTTAGTAAGCAAGAGAATTTCCCAGTGCCTCCTTCTCCAAGCAGTCTGGTTGACTCATGTCTTATTTTCTTATATACCCTCTCCGTCCTTAAAAAAAAAAGGTCCAATTTTAGCTACAAACCTGAACACACACGTAGCTAAAGTTTGTCTTTTTTTTTTTTTTTGACAGAGTAATAAGAAGCTAGGATTGGACTTTGGTATATATGAAAAGAATGGGCCTTCATTATTTTCAGGTGACGTTTGGGGTGAACTCCACTAAAATTAGCACAGTGAAAAAGTCCAGCTCCAAGGACTTGTAGATTCGAAACGTATGCTTAATTTGGCTCCGTCTCAAAACAAACTAACAAAGTAAAAGAAGTTGAAGTTTTCCTAGCTGCAGAAGACTGAGTTATACTCCCTCCGTTTCTAAATATTTAACACCATTAACTTTTTAGCAAATATTTGACTATTCGTCTTATTCAAAAACTTTTATGAAATATGTAAAACTATATTTATATATAAAAGTATATTTAACAATGAATCAAATGATAGGAAAATAATTAATAATTACTTACATTTTTTGAATAAGACGAACAATCAAACATGTTTAAAAAGGTCAACGGCGTCAAATATTTAGAGACAGAGGGAGTACTAGCTAACGATGAGGCAGATCAGTAGATTGTAGAGTATTTTGAAACAACCCGCACAAGATAGTGCGACGTTTCTATTGATAAAGAAGGAATAAAATACAAGCCTATAGTCCTGGGAGACTGTAGTCAGGAAAAAGAAAATATACAACCACACCACGCGTCTACGTCTGATCCTACTGTTTAAAACAAAACAAGCACACAACACCCCAAAGGAATAGGACTTCTAAACGATGCCTCCAAGAAGGAAAACGACGACAAAAGCGCCGCCACCGTCCGTCCTAGGTAACCAGGACGAGGTTTTCACCTGAAGAACCCACTGGGAAAAATAGAAAACACGACAATGCCCCAAGGGGAAAACGGCGCCCGTAGGCGTCGCCGTTGCCGGCCCGAAAGCTAGGCTTTCGCCTGTTGTTCTACTCTCCCGCGTCAAAAAGTGCATGCCAGTTTAGCAGAACCACCATCTAATTCCCTTTGACACGTAGCCACCGCGCCGACGCCTCGCCACCGTCCGGCCATCAAAGAAGAGTCTCAACCTTCACCGCGCTTCACGTCCATCCACGTGGTTGGGTTGGAGAGGGAGAAGGTGAGAGAGAAGAATGGATCCCCTCTCCCCGCACTCGCCCGTCCAGCGTGGCCATCTTTCGGCGGCAAGCCGCCACCGCAAGAAGGCAGACGCCTGGATGGAAGCTCGCCGCAGGCTTCAACACCCCCCCTCACAGCATGACCGTCATCGCCGCCTCGATCAAACCGCCGTGTCAACGGGTGCTTGGTCGCATCGCCGTCGCCTCCGTCCTCCTCACCGCAGCCATCGCCTCACCGTCACCACCGCCGACGGGCTTCACCACCGCCGATCCGTCGCGCCTTGTAGCCGTCCCCTGTCGCCGGCTGTGCCACGTCGCCCTCCGCCGTCATCGGCCGAGCCTCCGCTGCGGCCGCCACCACGGCCTCCACGCACGCCGGCCTCCAGCCGCGCCTCCATGTGCGCCGGCCTCCGCAGCCTCCAGTCGCATCGCCGTCCGCGGCCTCCGCATGCGTCGGCCTCCAGCCGCGTCTCCCCGCGCCATCCTCCACCGCCTCCGCCACCGTGGCCTCGCCGTCGCCACTGCATCCTCTGCATGCACCGGCCTCCTTCGCCAGCGGCCGCCAGCCACCAGCCTCCGGCTCTCGTCGTCGCCGCCAGCCACCAGCCACCAGCCGCTAGCCGCCGCCGCCTCCGGCCAGATCCGGCGTGGATCCGCCGGATCCAACCGCGGGGAGGCCAGATCCGGCCGCAGCGGCGCCGGATCCACCGTCTCCACGCCGCGTCGTCAGCCTTGCACCACGCGCCGGCCCGCCATCCACGCGCGGAGACGGGGCGCCGTCGGGGGTTGGCCTCGCCGCCGCCATCCCGGCTGGCCGCGCGGTTCTCCGGCGGCGCGTTCCGGCAGCGGCGAGGGGAGGGAGAGGAGGAGAGAGTGGCGGAGGCGGCGCTAGGGTTTCCCCCCGTGTCGCCCGCGCGTGGGCGACGCGGGGGCGAGCAGTTTGTTCTTCCAGGTAGATTGTAGAGTATAATTAGTAGGACAACCAGTAGCTCTAGCACCTGATAACTACTGATAGCAAACGTTCCTCTAGTGCCTCCTTTTCCATATAAATAAATTCTCCATATATGATATATCCAGATTTGCTCTTGATTGTCACTTGACACAGCAATTTGGTCAGTCATGTTGCGAGGGCCTTGAACTGCAGAAAATGGTGAACCCTGCTTTTTATAACCTAGCCTGTGAAAATTCTGGGAAGATTCCTGTGAACTAATGGACAGAGCTTTATGAAGTTGTAGCAACAACATGATTGGCCAGATGGTCATTTTGTCGTATGACGAATGTATTTTCTTCCATAAATGACCTGTATGCATATATTTATCAAAACTAGTGAAAATTGTTAGTATAATAAACCCATATAAATAAGTTTTGATATTATATTTGATATGTAGTAGTTGATGGTTAAAATTTACGCTTCACATCCGTCAACTCTCTTGGAAAAGCTTATAGGGGCATGGTATGCATTTATAAAGATGAGTGTGTATCCTTCCGCGTATGTGTGCACTTGCGTTAGTACAATGTTTTTTTAAAAGAGACAATACATGTAGTTGCGACAAAGGTGCCAATATGCTACGTTCTGGTGAAGGAAGAAGATGTTAACGATCAGAATTTGTATGACAAAACTCAGAATCAGCGGAATAATCCGAAAATAGAGGATATCAGTGCTAGTTATTACCAATCAGTTGAACTGTAAATAGGATACAAGATGGAAACATTGCGATTAAAGCTTAGTTAATTAGTCACCATCCTTTGCTTCTCTGCAGCCTAGCTTGCTACAAGGCAAATTTATAGAATATAATTTAATTGTGGCATGATCAGTATAATTATAGTACAAATAAATTATATAATTATTTTTCAGTTTTGTGGCAAATTTGTAAAATGCTTTTATTTATGTTGGCAGCATATATTTACAAATTTTCCAGGATTTAACAGCGTTGTGGTTTCAGTGGTAGGCGACGTACCCGTCGACAGCGAGACGCCTGTGTTGACTTCGTCAATCTTACAAGTATTCCTAGAGTGCATGCATGATGACTGTTCATTGTTACATGAGCAATTTTGGGCACTAAACCAGTAAACCTCTCTGTTCAGAACTCTTATAATATATAAATGAAACATTTTCTTGATGGCACAACATGAACAACATAACTATCGTTCACCATGAAAAAGAATCAAAATAAGTGTAGCAAAATAAACAAATCTGTCAAAACTGTTTCACCCCACTATCATATTTTGCGTCATCTAGTTAAATGACTGGAACTAAATTTTCCCTCGGGTCATCGATTGACCAAAGCCCGTGATCAGTAGCAGCACTTGGGGGAAACTATAAATGCCATGAGAGCTGAAGCACAATACTACTGTGGCTGTGCCTCTGCTCAAAGGATACAGTGAACTGAAGTGCTCCATCATTGATCAGAGGAGGAATCAATGTGATGGATGGCCAGGTTGACAACCATTCTTATACAGCTCGAGTTCCTGGTGTCTCCATTTCCTACAAACTACTCTCGTTTGACGATCCTCTACATTTTTTTTTTGCTCTTCGTTCTCCTTAACTTGTAGTAAGAATGATTAGCTTCCATTGCGGACTTTAGGATAGAGGGGTAGTGTCTAGCCTCTACTATTTATTGGCTAGCATACATGTGAACAGAGGCACCTCGACCGTGTGGTCTAATAATTCCTGGAACAACCCAATGCATATTAAAGCTTCATCTAATTAGCATGGTGAAAAAGTCTAGCTCTATGGGCTTATCGTTTCAAATCCTAGTGTAAACAAATATATCTGTGTGCATCATGAATAGGCTGAATGTTATATTATTTCCATTGTAAAACAAAGGACTTTTAGTCTGAGCCATAAGACAGCTTGGATCCACCACTACATGTGAAGTGCCACGCTATTATATTAGCTCAAAGTCATGGAACAAAGATAAAAAGGTTGAATTTATCCTGGCTACATAAGAGTGATATCATGATATGATGGGACAAAGGTCAATACCACAAAACAACACATCAGTGCCCCCATCATCAATGCCGGTTCGTGAAAACCTGACATTGATGATGGTTTCGATCCCATCCCAAAAAACAAGCTTGCACAATACATATCCTTCACCCGACATTGATGAGGAGATATCGGTGCCGAGTCTTATAACCATCTGGCACTAATTATTTCGCAACATATCAGTGTCAGGTCTTTTACCACTAATAGGCACTGATGAGTAACGCATCAGTGCTAGGTCTTGCTAGTTGGAGTAGGATGACTACACTTTTGTCAGGAAAAGACATCGATGCCAGATGTTTAGAATACCGGCAACAATGCCACTCATATCGGTGACGGATATTCTTATGATCTAGCACCGATGACCTTAATCTTATTAGTGCTTATTTCGGATATATGAACTTAACTTTTTTATACAAACTCGAATTGCAACAAAGTTTATATGGAAATTGTAGTTCTCAACGAGCTACGATTTTATAGTGGACAACCTTTTCATTTTAATTCTTTTAAATACTCAAATCAATGATTAAACTCTCGGTTAGGATGGGTCAAAAGGAAAAATATTCATTTTCTAACAAGATTGATATGAGGGAGGTGTATGTGAGGGAGAGGTTTTGGGTTATAATTTCCACCATGAAAAGAATTATATTTGAGTTGAAGAAATAAAAAATAGTGGTTGTATCTTCCAATATACACAGCTAGGGATGGTAAGAGTATAAAAAATATGTTCTGTATCATCAGTGCTGGTTGTAACTACGAACCAACACTTGATGACCCTCCCACATCAGTGTCAAAAGTTTAGTGCCGGTTCGATTTCCGTCACTGATATGGGTTATGACCCGACACTAAAGCCTTTTTCTATAGTGGTGGGTGTACACGACAAATTTAATATATAAAAAAATGCTCAAAGTTTTAAAAGTTTGACCAAATTATAACCTAGATGTTGAATATTTAATTATGGCCAGAGATAATATAAAAAGTAATATACATGGACGGCACCATATAAGCTGCGTGCAATATAGTGGCTCATATTAAAAATATCTCAAGCAGGTCACACATCTTTTTTTAAGTGTGAAAAATCTGATTAAATACCTGTCATATGGTTTGTTAATTACCTAGTTGCACACCATGCTAGCCACCTTTCACAAACAGGAACATCCATAATCCGGAAGTAAGCTAATAGTATAATACCTTTTAACAAAATCCTTATTGTAAAATCAAAGTGTGCTCTGATCTTTATTTCATTATGAACAATTGCCATATGAGATTATTTGTTTTGATATTTGGCGAAGTGGTTTCGGAGATATGTGATTTTCAAATGATGAACAGATTGTTACTGACTGTGTGGCCCGGTTAGACCAGGCAGGTGCTGCCGGTCAGACCAGCGTGTGTTTGCATGTTCAGACCGACCGACACGATGGTCCTGATCGGTCAGTTCTATGTCGGTATCGGTTTCATTTTAGTCACCACCCTTGCTGCCTTGCAGCCTTGATACAATGTATGCTTCATGGTTCTATTCTATACAATGCAATGCTCTAGAGTATAGAATCATGCTTCCAGTTTCCAACGCACTCGGTACGAAATGAGTTGAAATTCCTTTTTCCAGGTGATACGAAGTTTTACACCGTGGAAAGCAGAACGATTGAAGATTTAAATAAATGAAAAGCAGATTGGACTTGGAAGACAGAAAATATTCTTGAAACCAGGGAAGAAGAGCTCTCAACCCTCGCAAGTCGAGCGGGTTGGAAGATGGATCCGAAGAATTACAGTTTTTAGAACAAAACACAAATATTGTAAAGAAGGTTGAGATGATAACTAAGCTTTGGGCGACGCACTGTGGTTGATCTAGAAACAAGTGTACCTTGGTGCAGCGTATTGAGCAAGTGGCATTTCCTGGTGCCTCTTTTTCCAAACACTCTGATCAGGTGCATATAGGTCTCATTTGCTTATGCAAGCTAGAATAGTTGCCTCTTTCATGCCACTTCTGTAACTGGGTTGCTGTGGCATGAAAATGATATATAGACCTTCATTCTTGTGATGTTGTAAAACGACTGTGGTATGGTGATATGAGATGCCTGTTGGACATACCCCCCACATTATATCAGGGGAAAATATGTAGTGCAAACCACATATATAGTGGAAACTTGGAAACGATATGGATCGAGAAATGGACATTCGAGATTCGTCCACGTCACCATGAGTTAAAATTTAACTCCCAATAAAATTTTAACTCATGAGTGCATCAGCGAGTTAAATTTTTAACTCATGGTGATGTGGACGAATCTCGGACGTCCATTTCTCGATCCAACGGTAGTTTCCAAGTTTCCACTACATATGTGGTTTGCACTACAGATTTTCCCTTATATCAGCTCAGCTAGTTAGTAATGTACCAAGCATTATTGTTGCACCTACTTGGAAGCAGTTCTTTTTTTGGAACATGTACTATGCGTACAACCTAATTTCCGTGCATATTAACTAGCAAATGCCACGAAAAGTTCTAAAATAAAATGACATGTACTCCTGATAGTATTACACATATCTGTTAAATCTGATATTCAAATTTATTATATTTTGGCCGTAACAAAAAAATTTAAAAATTTGACTATTTGAAGAGAAAATCTATCAGAATTTCGTATTTTTTAGAGCTAAAATATAATAAATTTGAAGATAAGATTTCACACCTAGATTGGGAAGTATGTGTCTAATTTTTTTATAAATTTTTTCTTTAAATTTGTAGTTGGTGCACGGGAAGCTTGCATCGATAAGGTATTTTAGAGTAAATAGTAGCTAGTTACCACTTGGCAGTATTTTTTTTGGGTGCAACTAGATTGATTACTGATGATTTCTACCCATCCATAACAAATGGCATTGGTCATATTATTCCTCATTTTAGAGGCATGGAAGGTACTTGTTTTTATCCCAACACCAGACCAGAATTAAGAACAAAACTCGTACATACATTCTACCATATTCTCCTATAACAATGGCAGGGCACATTTGTAAACATCATGCCCTTTTCTTATCTAACTATTAATTCAACAAGTGGGTGCATCCTATACTAGTCCGTTTCCTCGTCGATGACATCATGTCATGGTCTAATCTTCTCGTAGGCCTGAAGGATCAGCACATATATACAATTGGAATTTCTGACAAGATCAGGCGTGTGTCAACTAATTCGCAGCTATGTACTTTTGCTGAAGTTGCAGGAAGAATTGCAAGCTTTTCAGATATGCCAATATGACGCAACACAGTCAAACGAGTGCTAGACAACTTCCACGCCCCGGTGAGTGAGGCGGTTGCACTACATTTACATTGTATCCTGCTTTCGGTTTTGTCTAACGATATACTCCCTCCGTATTTTAATATATGACGCCGTTGACTTTTTAATCAACGTTTGACCATTCGTCTTATTCAAATTTTTTATGCAAATATGAAAATACTTATGTCATGCTTAAAGAACATTTGATGATAAATCAAATCACAATAAAATAAATTATAATTACATAATTTTTTTGAATAAAACGAAAGGTCAAACGTTTGTTAAAAAGTCAACGGCGTTATACATTAAAATACGGAGGGAGTATGTAAGAACAAGTTCTATGACTCAAAGATCCCAGTGCTTCCCCTTCCCACAGGATATATACTTTGGTTCTGAGTGCATATGCCTCCCCTTTCCCATGATATATACTTTGGTAGTTTGACTAATTTCTTCCTTTTCAAATACCTCTGTTGGTTTTCGTCAGCATTCCTCTCTCGTAATGAACTCATTTAGCTGCTGTTTCTACCACAGAGAACGAGTGCTTTGGTTGCTTCAGTTTATTGGCCAGCATGGATTTGAAACATGAGCCCCTTATATATGGTGCTATCTACTGGTAGTAGCAAGAAACTTGAACCATTGATCTCATTCGATCCAAGAGTTTAGATTTATTTGCACTACCACCCTATTTACCGGTAGTAAAAACAATATTTTGGAGGGGTATAAACATCATTTAGCAGTGATGAAACCTTTTTTCTCTCTTTTTTTTGACTTTTTCGATGGAATATGAAAGATGCTAACGAAATGGATGATCACAGATTAATCTACCCCTAATCACTGTTTAGTACATTACTAGTATGTCTTTAGAGGCTGTTCAGATTGTATCTAAAATAAACTTAGTTGGCAATATTGCCATGTTTTGGCAGGATTCCTTATGTGTTTACCAAAGTATGGTAAAAACCTAAATGTATGCATATCTTTGTCAACTTACCAAAAAATGGTATGGTTTGAAGTGACATTAATCTGAACAACTCCTTAATAACGAACGGTTTAGATTATTTTTATTGGTTGTATAATACTACCAGTGGAGAGCAACAAAACACATCACCCTTGAAAAAGACGTTGAATTAACTCATACACATCAGTACTTCAGCCTTCATGGGGCACTAAACCGGTAAACCTGTCTACATATATATAGGACTGTTATAATCTGTAAATGAAACACTTTCTTGATGATGGCACATCATAGACAGGGTAACCATAGTACACCCTACAAAAAATCAAAATAACTGCAGCAACATCAACAAATCTAACAATCAACTGGTGCGTGTTTCACCCTATCACTTTTGGATCATCGATGGAGACAAATGCCGTGGTCAGCATGCAGTACATGGGGAAACTGTAAATGCCATGAGAGCATAAGCAGTTAAGCACAACACTGTAGATGTGGCGCTGCTGAATGAGTGCAGTGCTCCATCATTTGGAGGAGGAACGGACATGATGGACGATGAGTGATTTTAGCTAAGGTTTCTAATATTGTTAGGGCATATTTCCCTAAAAAAATCACTGTTGCTGAACCATGTCTATAACTGTACAGCTCAAGTTCCAGATGGCTCCCTTTCCTACAAACTACACACTATCAGTTGACTTTATATCCTCCATTATACTTTTTTGTTTGCTTGCTCCTGAACTTCAAGTGTGAGACATGACGAATTTCTCTTGCTGGTTTAATGATAGTGGATGACAAAACCGTTGAGTAGGCTAGCTATTTATAGCTGAATAGCTGAATTTGTGTTTTTTTGTTGTGAGATGCATGGATTGAATTTAGTGTTGCGTATGTTTGTCGAGTGACATATAATCTACGTTTTGAGGTTATTTTATAATCTTTCATGATCGACATGCAAGATATAAGTGCATGCGTACTTGAGTTGTAAATTAGATGGACTTTTCTAGATCAACCGTCTTTTGCTTACACAAGCTATAGTTGCCTCTTTCATGACATACCCTTTAATCAAGTAGTAGGGGTATGAAAAAGAGGATGAGCCTTTGTTGTTGGATCAAACTAATGTACTACTCAACATTATTATTGCAACAAATTGTCAGCAATTAGTATATTTTTTTGTATATATGGAGTAAAATAATGTACCACTAAGCTATAGCTACCACTCTGCACTTTTTCTTCTTCTACTTGCTAGTTCAATGGATTGAGTATTGACGATTTATACTCTTTGTAAAATAATAAAAAAAACACAATGGCATTGTTCTATTCCATGTCTTACATTCACGTATCTTTTAGTTAGAAAACCACATGGTACTCTCTTTTAAATCTCAGTCCATAATTTTTTTTTGAAAAAAAGAACAAACACATTATTGTACGGATCAAGCAAAACAGTTGTACGGATCAAGTTCCCAGCGCCTCCTTCTCCTATAATATTCTTTAGCAGGTTGATTAGATGCACTAATTCTTCAATTTCCCAAATATTCTTGATCTTTCTAATGAATAAAATCTCTGTGGAGAACTCGAGAAGCTTGCTTACAAATTAGCTGTCTCTACCAAAGAGTAGATCATTGCCATTTATTGAAGAGCATACATGTGAAATCGTCGATGTTGAATTAATTCATGCACACATTAGGTAGTTCATCCTGCCTGCAGAAAATTGTCAAGATGTCCTTAGGCAGTTCAGCCTGTCTTCTGGCAAGCTTTATAGACACAAGGGAGAACTATGTCCATGACTGAAATGGCCACATCAGAAGGGAGTATGACACTGTAAGAGCAAATATCTGTAGAGTGTGCATGAGGGTTATTGTTCATTGTTGCTGGAGTAATTTCCAGTACTCCCTCCGTTTCAAAATGTTTGACACCATTGACTTTTTAGTACGTGTTTAACCATTCATCTTATTCAAAAAATTTAAGTAATTATTATTTTTTTTCATATCATTTGATTCATTGTTAAATATACTTTCATGTACACATATAGTTTTACATATTTCACAAATTTTTTTAATAAGACAAACGGTCAAACATGTGTTAAAAAGTCAACGGTGTCAAATATTTTGAAACGGAGGGAGTACTAATTAATTAAATCCCTCTCTATTGATCCCTTGTAAACTGTAAAGGAAACATCTTCATGATGGTGCATCATGAACAAAAATAACTATACAATTTATATACTTTCTATCAACAAAACTATCAAGCAATAGGTGCGTATGTTTCGCCTTTCACAATCCATATCATCTAGTAAAAATAATAAAAGGAACTCAGTTCTACCCAGGTTATTGACAGAGCTCTACCAAAATGGCAGGTGATCTGTGCACATTACATACGAAACTGTTAATGCAGGCTTGTCCATAGTTTTTGATGTGTAGAGCATGCTAATCTTTAAACTTTGAAGGAATGATTAAAAGTAGCATGCCAATCGATGCTCAGGTCTATGGTTGTGCCAGGCCATATTTCCCTAGAAAACCACAGTGACCACTCCTTGTAATGTCTCCTGTAAAATCTGAAGAGATCGGGTTCCTGATGTCTCCCTTTCCTGTAAATTACTCTCATTTGACAAGCCTCTACTGTACTGTTCTCCTCTTGATCTCCAACTTGTGAGACATGATGAGCTTCTATTGTGGATTTTACGACAGAGGAGTGTCCAGGCCCTTCTATTTATCGGTTGGCATAAATGCCAACAGAGGATTGATTAGTGAGGTCACATGGCATATCACAAAATTTATTATTTTCTCATCTCCCACGTCTATGGGTCATCAAGGCGAAGGAGTCTAGCATAATAAAACATTAGATGCCAATACTGTATATAAATTGATTTTACTCTGTTTGACTAGTGTAGTAAAAACATGTTCTCTTTTCTCATGCCTAAAGATAAAAAAAATGAAATAGTAAAAAAATGCATTATCAAGTACCATTTGTTCAGATGTTAGTGACAATGCCATGGTGTGCAATATTGCTTTTACACAGGGAAGATATGATACAATTAATAACAAAATCAAGATTGAGTGCTAAGTAGAAGAAAAAAAGTGCACAACAATATACAAGTAAACTTGAAAATATTCATCAATGAAACTGTTATAAAATTAACTTCTTCAACCAAGTTTCCATGATCTCTTATTCATACATGACAATAAAATATGCACTGCTGCATATGAAATTCCATAATGTTTGAATTTTAATGACACGATGCTCGCCAACCTCAAAAGAAAACAACACACATAACCTTGCCTCAGTCAACAAAAGTATAGATCCTCTTTATTCCTGTAAATGTCAAACAACTGCTTAGAGCACTGTATTGCATATTCCTGGATGAATTTGGGCCCTGTAGCATCATGGTTCACTAGGTCTTCTTTGTTCTTCTTCATTGGCCCATTAATATCACCATCCAAAAGAAATTCTGCCAATTGTGTTGCCCTATTCACAACAACAAAAGAGGAGAATATTTTCAATAATTGAGATGATCAGCAAAATTGTTACATAGTTATGCACCTAAATCTATGTTAGTTAGCATTGCCTTTCAATTTTTTAGGAAAGTTAACCAAATATGCAATTTAAGATGAACCTGTCTATTACATCACATTGAAAAATGAGTACAAAAATCAAGAATTAAATAATAGTACCCTATAAAATACACCACATAAAGAACCTAGTGAGGGCATTGAGCATGCATGCTTGTAAGGTCATCACATAATCAACATAGTAAATTCCATTATATTTTGTCCAAGGAAAGAAAGACTTTTAGTTTTATATCTTTCTTTCTCCTGTATTATAATAACAAAGGCAACATAGGGTATATATTCATCATTTTCTATACATAAGAACTAACAAAATGCACCCCAATCATGGAGTGTCTACCTTAATTTCTTAAAAATGAAGGATATACTATTAGTGTATCATATAAATTAAACTAAATAGAAACTCTATAAAAAACACCATACTGACAATTCCTATAAAGCATTTAATAATGCATTCCACAACATAAACAGTTAATAGTAACTTCGAAGAGCCTGATGAAGCATTTTTCTAATAAGTGGTTCCTATAAAGCATTTTTTTAATGACAGATCATATATATGACAGCCATATAAATGTTTCTTAGAATAACCATTCTACATAGCAGTCATGAGCTGCAGTGAAAAAAAAAGTTCAGCTTCAGACACAAAAACTAAAAAACTACAAGATTCCAATAAATTGTAGCTGAAATTCATACTCAAATATTTATATAACTAGTTTGTAAATAAACTATACAATACAGTATGTATATAATATGTAGTAATATGAATAATTTCCCTTCCTAGCATTCAAACCTAATATTTAACATACCTGTAAGCCTGACTTTCATTGAGTGAAGTAAACTTAGTTCGTTCTTCACATGTCGATTCAACCATTAGCTTCTTTTGGCGATAAAGAGCGCAAATAGCTCCCATGCAAAGCTCCACATTTTCCATGAATCTGATAACCATATTTTCCTCAGACTCCCACAAGCTGGTTTCGATTTTTGACAGCAGAGATGCACTTTTACTGCTGGATGGGAGCACCAAAGAGAAGGGTACTTGCTCACTCATAAAGGGGCCTCCACTTTCTTCCATCCAAGCATCAAAAGAAAGTTGGTTCATCAAATTATTCAAGTGCAAATGAGATAATTGGTTCTGCATTTCTATATTTCCCTTATTTGATTCTTCAACCAAGTGTGGGCTCATATCGGGTACAGAGGCACAACTAGTTGCTACTAGTGCTGGAGCTATTGGAGAACCACCCGTGGATATCAGCCCCATGGAAGGAGGTTGCTGCATAGATGATGGTAACAAGGGAGCAGTTTCCTCTTCAATTACATACTCTTGATCAACACTTCCCAACTCAGAGAATACTGATCTCTTGTTCCAATTTCTCTCTTGATTATCTGATTCCAAAAGTAAGGGTGGACCTACCAAGATCGCTGTTGGAGGGGGTACTGTGGCTATAATCGGTATATCTGACAATGATACATCTGTGGATGCGGGAACTGTGGATGATAGTGGTAGTTGCAATTGTAGAATGCACTTGAAATTATTTGACATGGTTGGTGCTGGCTTAATTGAACTCTGGCATGGCCTCCCTCTTTTTTTTGGTGCTCTTGATGTTGTCGATGCAATGAGAATTCTTGCGCAAAACTGGTGGGATAGTCATGTTGTCCATGTCGACCCTCTTCCTCTTGCTTGAAGAACTTGAATGATTGGTGCCACTTACCTCATTTTTGTTGGAGTCAATGTTAGTCTTCTTGCCACCTTCACTATATGCGCCCTCCTTGGCTAGAAGATCACACTTCATCTGAAGCACATCAATCTTGGCTTGTAGACATGCCTCAGTCTCGGCAGCCCGACGCTCACGCTCGCCAAGCACATGTGCGGCCACCTTGTAATCAGCCATGCGATTTGTGGTTTGGAGGTGGCACACAAGGTTGGCACCGGAGAGTTGCGCGAGCTTGGCTACGGTGTCACCATCGGAGGCCATAGTGATGGTTGCGGCGGCTCTACCCCTAAGCTAGACTAGATTGGATATTGGGGAAGGGGATTGATTTGGGAATTGCACAAGTGGGCGATTTCGTAGGATCTTTGATTTGGGAATAGCTTACTAGTATTATTGCCATCATTAAATAGGGTAGTACAATTGTACTATGTACTACACTACCACTCTGCTCTGACCTATCATCATTTCTACTTTGGTACATTTGACACTAATTAGTATTTTTTTTAGGGGTGCAGGGGGATGCGTGTTTGCATTACCTCCAAACTTGGCTCGTACTAAATATTCTACAGGAGGTAAAATTGATCCAGGCATGTTTCTTAGCATCTCAATTTTCTAATGCCTCATTTGTCCCTCCAAATACAACAATGAAAATGTAATCTCTTAATTTATTCCGTGAAACGTAAAGTGTGGAAATATTTTTGCCAGCTTGCAAATTCTATGTTGATGTCCACCTATCCATCATTTATTCTTGTTTGAGGTTACTACTTAAACTCCAATGCGAGTTGTATATTCTATATAGGCCCTCATTTAAACCGAAATATTGACATACAAAATAAAAATAATCTGCTATGGATTTGAATTTGGGTGCAATATATTTTCTTGTGGGGATGGAGGAGAGGAGGGGGGATAGGGGTTTGGTAATGACTCTGCACAATCAAGATGGAGGAAACATATGTAATGGCATCCAAAGTAACACTAGCAGAGTTCATAAAGTAATTATCTGCGAGTAAGGTTGCCGAGTGTGATTTTGGAGCAGAACACAATGCCACTACCATAGAACTCCTTGTTCTTGATGCCCTGTTAATGCTGATTAAGCAAGAACCAACATTGATAGCGGTTTCCTAACTTCTAGGACTCATACGTGCAATGAGAAGAGAAAAACTAGCACTGATGATCCCACATTAGTGCTGGCTTTTTAGTTGAACTGGCATACCAAAACAACTACTAGTGGCAATTTTTTAGAGGAATCGATGCAGAAAATCAATCTAGGCAGAGCACTAGCTGAGCCAAGCTGCGCCAGGCAAAGGGTGATATTCTTTAAGTGTGGTGGTATCTGTCTCCTGTTGTCTCCAACCCCTTCTCCCCAACTCATTCTTTACTCGCCGGCCTCCATGTCCCCACCATCATTTGGGTCCCGTGTGCGCCGGTGGAGACCTCCTCCCCCACCTCTTTGTGGCCGCTGTGGAAATCGCTTCGCCCTCACCTCCTCCACTGCAGCCCTAGCAGAAATCTTTGTCCTAGTGTGGTCCAGTGTCGATGTTAGGTCGTCAGATCTAGCTGCGATGAGCCCAGGGGTAGTCAAATATGGCCGCCACGAGTTCAGGGGTGGCCAGATCTGGTTGCCTTGTTCTTTGATGTAACAACATTGGGAGGGAGCAACGACGATGATGACAAATGCCTCTATTGCCTGAGGCAGAAAGAGCTATTACGCCCCTGACTCTATATATCGCTGTACTTTCTTTCAGGGATACATCCCTATTTTTTCATGGAGTTCTAAATACATTCTAGCCTTGCAATTCTATTCTAATAAAGCATGTGGCAAATGGGCTCTTTGTGCTCGGTAAGCACCCACTTTTGCCTGCATGATGCCACATGTACTAGTAAGGTTATAAAAAGAGTAGAAATGAGTCCATTGAAAAGTATTGCACATGCAACAACAATTCAGTTAGCCACCGTCTCTTAAATTTCACGTACTACTAAGGTTAAACAGATTAGAATGAGCCATGTTTTTAGCTGATCAAGGTTGTTTGCACCTCTAGTTTAACATATTCTATGAATACTATTAGCTATGAAATACAAAAACAACATAATGCACATTAGCACATATGTGGCGTCCAAGACCATACAATGCGTGTTGTACTTGATTTTCTCTTCCAATGAATTTAATTTTGTAATTTGAGTATTTTGCAATATGAATGATTCACAAGTCAGGCTAAAACTAAATACATTTGGATCTTTTTTCAAAACTACATACAAATTGGACTTCATTTTCCATTCTCACCACTTTACAGAAAAAGATTAATTATCATTTATCAGGAAATTCTTTTGTATAGATTCTTATTTTTTTCCCCTTTTGGAACTCTGGCTTTCATCCTATTGGTAATTTTTGTGCACTCTTTAAGAAAGGAAAAGGTAACGTTCAAAAGTTTAATCTTGCACCAGCCATTCAAGTAGTGTTGTAATAACGGTTTAGAAGAGACCTAATTAAGAAAATAAAATAAAAGGGAAGACATATGGGAAACACTATTTGTAGGTAATGCTATTAATTGGTCTGGGTGTTGCCTTTGGAATTTTTCTTCTACGTTTGTGTGGGGGTATTCCTTTTCTGCAAGTATAGAAGGTATATCCAAAAGCAAAGAAGAAATATTTTAAGAAATACCAAGGGCCTTCTTCTAGAATCACCAATATCTTAAGATGAAAATGCCAGTGATAGCACAAAGATTTTTTCTTTGGAAAAACTAAAGAACGCAACAAATAACTCTGATCCAACATGTGTTCTAGGTAGCAGAGCATCTTACATTGTAAGAAGGAATCTTATCTGACCAAGGCTATGAAAAATCTTAAGATCACGGTAAAAATAGTTTAATCAATTCATCAAATGAGGTTGCAATATTATCTCAGGTAAATGATCGAAATATCATCTAGATGTTGTCCTGAAATTGAGATCCCTATGCAAGCAAAATTTAAAAGAAAAACTGATATTGTTGTTGCAAAATGGAGATAATACAAAGCTCATGCAAGCTCTGTAGCAATCCACAAACTGTCATCCCCGGACAACAATAACTTGTCACTACTCAGATTATCGTGGATAATATTGAGTAGTGAATCATCACAAAACTTGTGTGAAGAGTGAAGCTTGTCTAATTACTTCCTTTGGGGGAAAAAAACAATGCCCATAATAGAGATAATTTCCTCTTATGTTCTTGAGGAAGCATGTGAGAATGATATAACATTGTTGCCTCTCCTGCTGAGGACTCTTGAGGAAGAAAGATCTGCTGTATCTTGTCCTGAAGCTTTGGAAATTGGCCATCCAACAAAGCTCATGCATGCGATTTCTTCCAGTTGTGTCATCTGCTACGGCGAGAGCTTGTGCCGTTTGCTACCCAGAATACGAAAGGAAATCCGGTTTATCGAGTACAATGGTTTGGTCTTATATTGTCCGCCTTCATGCATTTTTGTGTTTTCCTACAAATTTTTCTGGCCTTCATGCATACTGGATTCTGATTTGTCCATTTGATCAACTAGAAAGGAAGCCCGCGCAGATGCGCGGGCAATTTATTTTTTTGTTTATAGAAAGAATACTAAAATAAACCATATGTTACCGTATTTATTTTAAGAACCATAGATTACCTTATAATATAAAATAAGAAATATTTATTATGTGAAATAAATTATAAACTTTGATATACTAATTGATAATATCTATTATATTCAAACAAATTTCACTTTGTCATGGCTATACATAAAGTCGCATATCACCATCTTTCGTAAACATACAGGTTAATATGGGTTTAGATTTTTTTCTTTTACTATACATCTAAGTCACCTACGTATATTCATGGGTAATATTCGAAGGAATAATTCATATTGTCAAAATTATTTGTGCTAATTTTGTCAACACTATTTAGATGAGAATGACATACTTATATAAGGATATAATAGGTTTCCATGCGACATTTTTTATTGTACGTATGTATTTTTTTTGTGAATAGTACTGCGCATATTCGTAGGATGGTTGTGCACATATTTATATGAGTGTCTATGATTTCGTTTTAGATCATTAGTTAAAAAAATATTTTAAAAAAGTTTTGTGGGATGGCATGAAGCGATGCCACAGTGGCATGACTTTTTCGATAACATCGTAAAGAGTTTCACTATATATATGCATAATTTGAGGAAAACTTTAGTGCTGCAAAGAAAGAAACAAAAAAACAACCAGACGGAGCAGATCATATATACATTCTTCTTTTTTTTTCCTTTTCGACATCTCTTGTATAGGTACGTACGTAGGGAGAGATTAGTTGGTTTTTAGCTGGAATATATCCAATATAATGGTTGAAAATAATGGATCTACCAGTTGAAGTGTAAATTGATGACCAGATATTTTCTTTTTTATATTTTTTCTTATACTTTTTTTCTAGTTTATGAGATCTATTACGTGATATATTAAGAGTTCTTGTAGAAGTGTAGAAATTCTATTGCTTATACTGACAATATACTTGTAGTCGATTATTATTTGCTGTGGCTTGGTGGCATGCTTTACTTTACCTATCATTTGTTGATAGTTCTCCACTTAGCATAGTCCGTTATATATGGTGCTTCATGACATAAGTGCTCGTTGGATGGTAGCTAATTATTAGGTGCACTATGCATGAATACCTCGTAAGCAATATGACTTGACGATTAGTGGATAGTATTTATATACTTATGGATAAGTGGTGGCATATGATTATATATTAGGATATTTTTTTATTCATAAAGTATATTATATACTACACATTAAACATTTTAGTAAATAAGCAATAAGTTCTAGAGTACTTATCAGATTGGTTACTCCTTGTTTTCCCAGTTATCTACCCATTGATATAGGAATTATTACAAAAGACATATCTTTTGATAATAATATCTAAATCCATCTGAACCATTTTATGCACTATAATTAAATTGACAACCATAACCTACATCGTATATATTTAAAAGCAACTTGTGTATAATTAAAATATATTTTATATAAAAGTTTAAAAATTAAATAAATCTATTTTGGCTTTATTATATTCAATATTTAATTAATCTTGCACTAATGATATGTGTCGTTTCATGTATCCTGAATAAGCTCAGCCATCCAGTTACAGCCATCCAGCTAGATCAAATGAAGCATAAGTAGAAGATAAAGTAGATCAGTACGGTGTGAAAAGAATATATACAATCTTTGATATTTAAATATTATACGAATAGAGAAAACACATGGACTGGGTGCCAAACACTCACTTACATAGATGACGTCGATGGATCAAGCAGATATATAAGCAAGATATCTATCATCTTGCCAGTTCTGTGCTTAGCATGGCTTTCTTTGTTAGATAGATCTCCCTCCCCTTGAGCCCAACGGCTCAAGGGGGCCTTGACCGCGCCCTGATCGGGGGCGCCCAGCCCAATGGCTGGTGGGCCCCCGTCACACTGCGCCATATAAAAGAGGGGTGGAGGCCGGCACGGCACAAGGTACGAAGTTCACCGCCGCCGCCAACTCCACCCCACAAAACCCTAATCCGATCGAGAGGGGGCGCAGCCAGTGACGGGAAACGCCACCGCCGCGCCACGCCTCATCGCCGGGACGTCTACGACCACCACTGCCGCAGCCGTCATCGCCGTCGACCTCACCGGCGTCGCATCCACGTCAAGCCGCGACGACAACGACGATGTCCAGCGCCTCTTCCTCCACGAACTCCTCAACCGGTCGGTCTATCTAAACCCTCCCCCGTTTTCAATCTCTATAGTTCAAACATCAATCCCAAATAGAACCACCCGACTAGATCTAACCTAGGTGATCCTAGAGCAAAGTCTAACAATGGTATCAGAGCAACCCTAGTGTTTAGATCGTTTCGGGGAAAGAAATCCAAAGAAAGAAAAGCACAAGATCCGCACGGATCAAAAGAACCGAAAACCCTAACCCTAATCTTACCTCGTCGCCGGCCGCCGTCGACGCCGGCAACGGAGGGAGGGAGGGGCAAAGAGGCGCCGCCTAGGAGCCACTCGACGGCCGCGCGCACACCTGCACGCGCGCGCCGGCGAGGGGGCCCGCGGCGGCGCCGCCATCTCCGTCGTCGCCGTTCTCTCTCTCACTTTTCGCGGGTGGAGGGCGAGAGACGGTGGGGGGAGAAGAGAAGAGAAAAGGCGCTGGCCATGGCGCGGCGGGCGCGAAGGTCGCCGGCGATGGCGACGCCGTCCACGCGGTCGCGTGAGAGAGAGAAGAGAAGAGAAGCTAGGGTTTTCGGCGGCCGGCCGGGAGAGGGGGGTTTTGATCCTCCGATCTCGGCGCCCGGCCGTCCGATCGAAACCCTAGCTGATCGGACGGTCGACGCCGGCCGGGCCGAAATCGGCCCAAGAGGGCGCGCGCGGGGGGCTGCTTTCCTGGCCCAGGCCCAGGTTGCGGCCTGGGGAAGGGGGGCGCCCGCCCGTGCCAAAAGGCCGCGGGCCGACCGGGAAAAGTCTGTTTGAGGTCCCTCGGGGCCGAAAACAAAGAAAAGAGAACAGTAGCATTTTTTCCAATTTATTTTGTCGATTTTTCATGCAAATTTCAATAGAATTTTGAATAGATTTTTGCATGTTTTACCTCTGTTTAAATTTGAACCAACGGGAGAATTTTGCAGAGAGTAAATTACAGTGTTTTGCTACTGTTCATATAAATTTTATATAGTTTTTCCGCTGCAAATAGATGAAATTGATGAAAATTAGTGTTTCTAAAATTAAATTTCGAACCAACGGGAGAATTTAATTTTAGGAACATTAATTATGTGCTATGATGTTGTAATTTTCTGACCAACGTTGATAATTGCAATGTTATAGTTATGGCTATGTGTTATGTCTAATTCTGCCCAACGGTGATGTAGGCTTAATGCATACTATTTTAATGTTAATTTTGTTCTCACCGCACATGATTATTTCAGGTGGCTACTCCTTGATGGGTTGCATTAAAGATATTCCGACCCTAAAAGGAGATAACTACGCAGAATGGAAAAGAAAACTCGACCTTGCTTTTATCTTGGGAGAGGTGGACTGGGTGTTGACTACCCCATGTCCTATAGAACTTGCTGAACTTATCAGAGGTGAAAATGAGTCAGATGCTGACTGGCAAAAGAGACAGAGGGACAATGCTCCTCTCGTCATGTCGTATGACATTGAACAAAAGAAATGGTCCTTAGCCAACAAGAAATGTTTGGCTGTGGTAAAGAATACGATTGAGCCTACCATATTGGGCTCGATCCCAGAGTGTGACGCTGTCTCAGAGTACCTTGAAAGAATAAAGAGTCAGTTTACTGGCTCTTCAAAGACTTATGCTACACAGCTGATCAAGCAGCTTGTGACAGAAAGGTACCATGGAGGTGGTGTTAGAGACCACATACTTAGAATAAGCAACATGGCTTCCAAGTTGAAGCCAATGGATTTGGGCATAACAGATGACTTTCTGGTCCATCTGGTTATGGCCTCATTGCCAAAGCAGTTTGACAATTTTATTGTCAACTACAACATAAGTCCAGAGAAATGGAACTTTGAGAAGCTCATTGCTAATTGTGTGCAAGAGGAGGAGAGAATCAACGAATCAAATGGTGGTTCAATAAACTATGTTAAAGATAAGAAAAAAAACCACAAGTCTCCCACCTCAAAAGGTAAACAGTCTCAGCATCTGCCTCAGCAACAACAGTTCGCTGTTGAGAAAGATCAATGTCTCCACTGCAAGAAGACAGGACACTACAAGAGAGATTGTCCTGACTTTTTGAAAATGATCATGGCAAAGAAAGGTGAGAACATTATTACATTTGTAAATGAATCTCATTATGTTGGTTACTCTAGATCCACATGGTGGATTGATTCTGGAGCAACTATTCATGCTTGTAATTGTTTAAAGGCATTCCGTTCGACGAGGACTACGCAAAGAAGAGAAAGCACCATTAGAGTTGCCAATGGAGTTGAAGAAAAAGTTGAAGCTGTTGGAGATCTTCCTCTAGAGCTCGCGAATGGCTTCATACTTTTACTTCGAGATGTCTTTTATGTTCCTTCTTTGCAAAGAAACTTAATAAGTGTATCAAAGTTGGATTTTGATGGATATGATTGCCGCTTTGGAAGTGGCAAATGTGAACTATGGCATAATAATGCATGTATTGGTCTTGCTGTGTTGCGAGACGAGCTTTATTTGTTATCTCTTTCTGAGAATGTGAATGTTGTGTCCTCGTTGACAAAAGAAAACAAGAAAAGAAAGTGAACTCCCGATGTCTCATCGAAATTATGGCACTGTCGTTTGGGCCATATTTCGAGGGGGAGAATTGAGAGACTAGTTAAGAATGAAATTCTTCCTCCATTGGGGTTCTCAGAACAATGCATAGAATGCATTAAAGGAAAATTTGTAAAGAGCATCAAAAAGGGTGCAAAACGAAGCGCAGGAATTTTAGAGATCATTCATACAGATATTTGTGGTCCATTTCCTGTGAAAAGTGTGGATGGCTATGACTCGTTCATAACATTCACAGATGATTACTCCCGCTATGGTTATATTTATCCAATTAAAGAGCGATCAGAAGCACTGGATAAATTTAAGATATTCAAAGCTGAAGTTGAAAATCAGCATGATATAAAGATTAAAGTAGTAAGATCTAACCGTGGGGGGGAGTACTATGGTCGACATACGCCTTATGGGCAAGTCCCTGGACCTTTTGCAAGGTTCTTGCTAGAGAATGGAATAGTAGCCCAGTATTCAACACCGGGCGAACCTCAACAGAATGGGGTAGCTGAAAGGCGCAACCGTACCCTTATGGATATGGTGCGCAGCATAATGAGCTACTCCACACTACCACTCGGTTTATGGATGGAGGCGTTAAAAACCGCCATTCATATTCTCAACAGAGTTCCAAGCAAATCGGTGCCCAAAACACCGTATGAGCTATGGATAGGAAGAGTACCCTCGCTAACTCACCTCCGTGTGTGGGGGAGTCCTACAGAGGCCAAAGTATTTAACCCAAATATTGGGAAGTTGGACCCCAAAACAGTCAGCTGCCATTTTATTGGCTATCCTGAAAGATCAAAAGGCTATCGTTTCTACTGTCCAAACAGTTATACAAAGTTTGTAGAAACGAGACACGCCGTCTTCTTGGAAGACGAAATGATTAGGGGGAGCTCGGTAGTTCGAGAAATTGATCTTGAGGAGAGGCGGGTGTCTGTACCCGCTCCGTCGACTCAGGAACCTTTCTTCTCTCTACCTGCTGATGTTGTGCCTGCAATGCCTGTCATTGAGGTACCAACACCTGTTGTTACCCCTCCTGTGGCAACAATGAATGAGAGTGAGGAACCTGTTATACAGGATTCAACAGAAATGGTTGCCACACCAGAGGAGGAGCTACAACAGCCTCAAATAGATAATGTGCCAGTACAGGAGACTCATCAAGAGCCTCAGGTACAGGATGTGCCAAATGTGCAGGCCCCTAGAAGGTCTGAAAGAGTCAGAAGATCGGCTATCCGTGATGACTATAAAGTTTAAAATATAGAAGAGTCGCATATGGAGGATGATCCCACCTCATATGAAGAGGCCATGAGAAGCGCTCGCTCATCTGAATGGTTGGAAGCCATGAAAGATGAAATGAAATCAATGAAACTAAACGATGTTTGGGATTTAGAAGAAATTCCTAAAGGAGCCAAAACAGTAGGCTGTAAATGGGTCTACAAAACCAAATATGACTCCAGAGGGAATATAGAAAAGTTTAAAGCGCGACTTGTGGCAAAAGGCTTCACACAACGAGAAGGGATTGATTACAATGAGACATTTTCTCCAGTCTCTTGTAAAGATTCCTTCAGGATTATAATGGCACTAGTGGCACATTATGATTTGGAATTACATCAGTTGGATGTAAAAACGGCATTTCTAAATGGAGATTTGGAGGAAAAAGTATACATGGCGCAACCGAAAGGTTTTGTCATGAAAGGAAACGAAAATATGGGATGTCGTCTAAAGAGATCCATTTATGGATTAAAGCAAGCTTCGAGACAGTGGTACTTGAAGTTTGATGGGACAATAAAAAAATTTGGGTTTCAAGAGAATGTCGAGGACAACTGTATTTATTCAAAGTTTAAGAATGGGAGATTTATTTTCCTAATTCTGTATGTGGATGACATTCTACTGGCTAGTAGTGATGTCAGTCTACTGCAGGAAACAAAAAAATTCTTGTCCTCAAACTTTGACATGAAAGACCTCGGTGAGGCTTCATATGTTTTGGGCATAGAGATTCACCGAGATAGAACAAAGTATGCATTGGGACTTTCTCAAAAGACATATATAGAAAAGGTGTTGAAGAAATTCAACATGTACAGATGCAGTGCTACACCTGCTCCTATAATGAAAGGCGAAAAGTATGGGGCATCGCAATGTCCCAGAAATCAGTATGAGCTCAATGAAATGAAAACAAAGCCATATGCGTCAGCTGTAGGAAGCCTACAGTATGCGCAAGTGTGCACACGACCTGACTTGGCATTTGTTACCGGGTTACTTGGCAGATTTCAGAGTAATCCAGGCCTAGAGCACTGGAAATTGGTAAAGAAAGTCTTGCGTTATTTGCAAGGAACAAAAGGCCTCATGCTGTCTTACAAAAGATCAGAATCACTCCAGATAGTGGGGTACTCAGATTCTGACTTTGCAAAAGATAATACAAAGTCAACATCGGGATACGTGTTTACCCTGGCAGGAGGAGCTATTTCATGGAAAAGCTCAAAACAGACTATCACTGCAGGGTCTACTATGTATGCCGAGTTTATAGCATGCTATGAGGCAACGGGGCAGGTGAACTGGCTAAAGAAGTTCATACCCGGTTTAAAGGTGGTTGACAGTATTGAGAAACCACTAAAGTTATACTGCGACAACGAACCCGCAGTAATGTACGCTCACAACAATCAGTCAAGTGGTGCTGCCAAACACATTGACATAAAGTACTATGTTGTGAAGGACAAAGTCCGGGATCAAACAATCAGTCTCGAGCACATTAAAACAGAAAGGATGCTCGCGGATCCGCTCACGAAAGGCCTACCACCCAACGTGTTCAAGGAACATGTAGCCGGCATGGGTTTAAGGGAAGCCTTATGAATCCTGGACTACAGGGCCCAAAAGTAAAGTATCTGTTTCTGAATAGAGATGTGTATAGTGGCTGTCGAATCCATCGGCGATTGACCGTGACGATGAAACATGCTCTATTTAGAAATCTGTGATGGAATAGAAAAAGCTAAAAGAAAAAGTGAGATCAAGGGGGAGAATGTTNGANAGAGGTCCCTCCCCTTGAGCCCAACGGCTCACGNCCCCTTGANCGCACCCTGATCGGGGGCNGCCNGNCATATGGCTGGTGGGCCCCCNNNTACACTGCGCCATATAAAAGAGGGGNGGAGGCGGCACGGACCAANGGTACNGAAGNTCACCGNCGCCGCAACTCCACCCCACAAAACCCTAATCCGATCGAGAGGGGGCNGCCNAGTTGACTGGGAAACGCCACCGCCGCGCCACGCCTCATCGCCGGGACGTCTACGACGTACTGCCGCAGCCGTCATCGCCGTCGACCTCACCGGCATCGCATCCACGTCAAGCCGCGACGACAACGACGATGTCCGGCGCCTCTTCCTCCACGAACTCCTCAACCGGTCGGTCTATCTAAACCCTCTCCCGTTTTCAATCTCTATAGTTCAAACATCAATCCCAAATAGAACCACCCGACTAGATCTAACCTAGGTGATCCTAGAGCAAAGTCTAACATTCTTCTCGAGGCTGTAAACCCCGGTAGTCTTGCTATCAGTTTGCCATGAGGATGTTGTACGTGTATTTGCCATCTCTGCCGTAAACCTAAGACCCGCAAGCACAAGCGGTGGCTGTGGATCTTGCTGCACTTCATCTGCAAATGCAAGTTGCTGAAGCTGCTCTGCCACATACCTCATCTCTGGCCTTGCCGTACCTGGAATAATCAAGCACTGACTCGCTAGCACTGCAGCCTGATGGATCACTCTCAGGTTGTCTTCATTAACAATGTCACTATCAAGGAGTTTAATGAGTGTGCCATCCGTCATAGCCTCCTTAAACATTGAGGTCAAGGTCTTCCTTTCTTTTGATAGTGGCCTCTTACCAGTTAGAAGTTCAACCAGAATTACTCCAAAGCTATACAGATCATTCTTAGCTGTGAGCTGATACTCAAGCAGGTAGTCTGGGTCAAGATATCCAGGTGTGCCCTTGGGCGCAACCTGAGTTTTCTCATCAATTGTTGAGCAGCCAAAGTCAGACACCTTTGCAACCAATTCTTCGGTGAGTAGTATGTTCGCTGGTTTCACATCACCATGGAGTATCGGGTGTGGTAACGAATGGAGATGCGCAAGCGCATCGGCAGACTCGGCGGCAATCCTCAGGCGGGTTCCCAAAGTGACATGGCAACTCCTGTTCCTTTGGAAGTCCAATAGCTCATGAAGTGTTCTATTTTGCACAAACTCATAGACAAGCATGGGTGCCTCAAATTGTAGGCAACAACCAAGTAGCTTGACAATGTTAGGGTGGTTGACACGACAAAGTATGACCAGCTCCTGTACAAAGTCCATCTTCCTGCTCTCATCAATCTCCTTGCACCTTTTTATCGCAACAATAGTGCCATCTATCTCTGCCCTGTAAACTGTTCCCTGTCCTCCCTCCCCGACAATGTGTGCCTTGTTGAAGTTATTTGTTGCAGTTTCGATCTGCCCTCTCTCATAGAGGGTAAACCCAACATTGCCCTCTACCTTCATCATTTCTAGCAGTAGCTGACCTCCATGTTGTTGAAAAAATTCATCTGTCTGTCTTAATAGAGCTTGTTTTTTTGTGTTCTGTCTGTGCCGGATCACCTCCCATCCAAGGAAACCAAATAGACCAACAAATACACAGGTAACAAGCCCTGAAAGGACGGAGTTTTTTCTTTACTGAAAAGGCTTAATCATATGTTTGAACTTCAATATTTTGGCATCAATGTACATGTTGTACTTAACAGTCTAGGACACACAATTAAGCAAACCGTAAGTTTTAGTGTGTTCAAACAATCATTCCCTTCGGTCTTTTTCAGTTAAGCAACCTCCCACCCCCACAAAGAGAATTGGATGGGATTTTGAGGGCCCCTCAATTTCATCCAATCCTTTTTTCAAGGAGATTAATTGAACAAGTCCACACCTTAATTTTCTCTAAATCCACTTCAATCTACTTGACAGAGAGATTAACTGAAAAAGGCTTAAAACATTGTTTGGCAACATGGGGGTGGATTGGGTGAATCCCCTTCTCTCATCATCCCCAACCCCCTTCAATACCCCTCAACCTAACCTATTAACTTGTATGTTTGGGTCATGGGGATTATGGTGGGGATAATTTGTATCCAGAATTAAGAATTTAAATAGTGCACCAAAGATTAAATGCCATCAAAACAAGCCCTAAGATGTTCTGTAGATAGATATTTGCAGACATCGATGTGTTATTTAATTTATGGTATCATTTGTAAGAGAAACAAACCATAAATGAGTCATAAGTTCGGGTCGTTCCCTACCTACAATGTAATTACTTATGGAGAAATCTATCTATCTATTATCTATTATATACTAAAAGTTCATTTAAACTTCCTATAAACACTCTCAACGCGCCACGTGGATATCCTACAAACGCTCCTAAGCTGCGGCGTGGTGCAACATGAGAAGACAAGGACCCACGCGATGTTACCTTATTTAGAATACGCAAGTGGGGACGTCGGACATGGGTCTGACAAAACGATCTTGGGCCTTGCCATATTTATCTCAAAATTAGTTCCGTCAAAACAAATTTTAAATGGCAGCCAAGATTAGTTACGACCCTCTGGCAAGATTAGCTATATATAATGTGAAACATACGTGTATATGTACCTCAGTGAACAACAGGTTATTATCTTTACGTACATATATACATTCCACCAATTGACGCTATAATAAATTATTTACATATAAAAGCCATTTTATATAAAAACAAAACACCTAACCATCGATTTTCCCTTAATCCGTTAGACCCATAATTTTAAACCATTAAATTAGAACAATCTAAAAAAGCAAATACGCCATCAAGTTGCACACCTCTTCCGTGCCATTATGCATGGCTCCATATATACACTCCTAACATGTTCTTTATTTCGTCAACAATAGTTCGAGATATAGAAATCAATCAAGTATAAATCAATCAAGTATAATAAATAAGTATTATAAGTATAATAGATGGACTATTATTATTATTATTATTATTATTATTATTATTATATACTAAAAGTCCATTAAACTTTCTACAAATGCTCCTAAACCGCCACGTGGCATCCTACAAACGCTCTGAAGCAGCCATGTGGCACTATAATAAATTAGAGAAATTCCTAAACATCCAGCTATTGATTTTAATTAAATTTGGTGGACCCATTATTACAACCATTAGATTTATCTTTAAAAAATCAATCTCCTAAACCGGCCCCGCTCAGGCCTATATGTAATGTAGGTACGTACGTGCCATTATCTACAGTACCATCATCCTTCGTTATATTCTTTATCTATTTTCATGCTTTATTGATTAGAAAAGCAAAATTTCATGTTAAAAAATTTAGCAACTATATATCTAAATCGTGCAAATATGCTTATATATATCTTGAAATTATTTATGACTAACCTGTCTATTATATATATACTAATTTAAAGTCTATTAAACTTCCTACAAACGCTCTCATACTACCACATGGTGCTCTAAAAACGCTCTTAAGTTGTCATATGGAGCTCTAATAAAATAGAAAAAACTTAGAAATTCTGAGGAAAAAAGAAAAAAATCTAGCCCCCGATTTTCATTTAAGTTAGTGGACCCATTAGTTTAAACCATTAGATTAGATTTGTTATAAATATATTATATATAAATAGTAATCTATCCCTCCTAATTTACCAGTAAAACTTTTCATAAAAAATATTGACCAGAAAAAGCTGAGAAGGCATATGTATGTACGAATTAACAACCACGACCGAGAAAAGAAGAAATGATATACAGCAAAAAACAGACGTTATACGTACATTGTAACGCCCCGATTTTCGTTCGGGATTAAAAATCATTTAATAATACATTTTCTAGAAATTAAATAAAATTTAAAGCAATTTAATCAAGTGAAATAATGGAAGAATTAAAATTTTCCCTTAAAAATCATTGGCCGGGAATATTTTGCAATATTCTTTGTGCCCTAAAATACTCTCTGAAATTTCCCGTGAATTTTCGGAGCTCAAGAAATAATTTTAATGGCACAAAGTTCATTGAATCAATTAAATAAAAAAAAAAGAAAACAAATTAAAATCCTTCCTCTCTTTGGGCCCCTTTCGGCCCAATCCCTCCTTTCCCCTCCTCGGCCCAGCTCGCTCCCTTTCGCAAGTCTATTTTGCCTCCCTCTCCCATCTCTCTCCCTTAGGCCGACAAGTGGGACCGCGGGACCCACTTGTCAGGCCCATCCCCCTTCCTCACGCCGGCCACAACTGCCGCCATGGCCGCCCGAGCCACCCCACGACGCCGCCGTTTCCGCCCACCTCCTCCACCCCGCGCGCGCGCGCTCGTCCGTGGGACCTCGCCGCCCACGTCCGCGCCGTTTTCCCCCACCTCTCCCCTCCAAAACCGCCACCCACACCCCACGATGCCGCCCACGCCACCGGCGGTTGCCGCCCCGACTCCGCCTCTCCCGGGCTCGATCCGGCCTCCCCTCCCCTATAAAAACAATCCCCGGCCTTCCCTCATCCTTTTCCCCCATTTTTCCCAAGCCGCCGCGCCCTCCCTCGCTCTCCCCGCGCCGAGCCAACGCACCGCCGCTCTCCGGCGAACTCCGGTCGCCGTTTCCCGCCGCCACAGCCGTCGCCGCGCCGAGCCGCCGCCACCGCCAGCTTCGCCACCGCAAGGGGAAGTCCGGCCGCCTCTTATTTCCCCCTCTCCACCCCTCGAACACCACTCCCACTGTACACCCGAGGCCGCCGCCCCTTTCACCGCCTCCAGCCGCGCGCCACCGCCGCCCTAGCCGTCGCCCCAATGCGCCACCACTGCCAGTACCTTCGCCGCCTCAAAGTCAAGCTCGGCCGCCGCTCGGTTGTCGCGCCTCGCTGCCCGAGCACCAACTTCACCACCAACCCGAGATCGCCGCCGTGTTTGCCGTCTCCATCTGTGTCGCCCCGCCTCCCCGGTCGACGCCGGACTGCGCCGTTTCCTCCCTCGGATCGGCAACTCCGAGCCACACCCCGGCCACCGCTTCCTCGCCTCCGGGAACCACTGAAATCGCCCTCTCCGCGCCCCGGTCGTCCCGGTCACCGTCCGCCGCCTCGCGCCGTGGTACGCCACCGGACCACCGTTGCCTCCCCGAGGAGCCCGCCGCCGGCTTCCCCGTTGCAGTCTCGCCGTCGCCGCCCTTGGTGAGCATCCCTCCTCTCCTCCCCGCGCCGTCGCCGGCCGTCGTCGCCGATGGCCGCGCTGCCGCGCGCCATCGCTCGGCCGGGCCGGCACTGAGCCGTGCCCGTGCTCTGGGCGCCCTGCCTCGTGGCCGCCCGATCAGCTCGGGCTGATCTGGGCCGTCGGTTCCCGTGGACCGGCGGTGGACCACCCCGTGGTCCCGGTCCACGGTGGACCGATTCCCTTGACCCGCTGACGTGTGGGGCCCGCCTGTCGGCGCCGGCCTCACTTGATGACGTCAGCGGCAGCCTTTTTCCTTTGAAAAATTAAATAATAATTGCGCAATAAATCGAGTTTAATTCTAGAAATTAATTTAAATGGCTCAAAACTTCTAAAATTCATATCTAATTCATTCGAACTCCAAATTGGGCCATTCAACTTGCAAAATTCATCTAAAATTGAGCTCTACATGTTTGTTTACTTTTTATGTACTGTTTTCTTGGTTTTTATTAGAGTTTTTCCTCGTTTTGCGTGCCAGCGTGTAGTTCCCGTCGTTTCGGAAGATCGCGTTCGCAAGGATAAGAGTTCAGAAGATCCAAGTGAAGAAGCAAGGCAAGTCACACATTCCCCTTGAGCATATTGAGCCTACTTTACAAATGTTTTACCGTTTACAAATAAATATGCATGTTTTGCTAATTACATGGGATCCGGGTATTACCTATCTGCTCGCTTGTGCCATGTTTACTTGATATCTGTCCTTTGTCAACCTTGGGTAATAAATCGACTAGCTCATGTTACTTATGTGACCTAGCTAGAACTATATGCTTAGCCATGCTTAATTACCACTAGCTCAGTTGATGGGATAATTATAGTATTAGACCTTTTAGTAACAGAATGAGCTGCGTGCTCGAGACATCTGGCCATGCTTCATGGTCGTAATTATCCAACTAAAGTGTGACTAAATGGTGGGCTGTGGGTGCATGGTTTTGCTGGTCGCACCCATGGCAGTTAAGGACCGGTTCGCGGGATGCCCTGGAAGAACTTATCGTACTTACCACAAGCCAGCGTGGGCAACGGCTGGGCTTGTAGTGTAGCTTTCCTCTAGTCGACGCATCCAGGCAAGGGTGGGCGTGATGGAGCGGGGCGGGCCCTGCGACGGCCTCTGTCGCTTCCGGATTCACCTAGGCACGAGAGGGGACTGCCCGCTGCCTTGCGAGGATTGGGGGTGAAACCTGAGGTGTGGTGTGCTTGATTAGAGGGGGTTATGCGAAGGGTCCTGTCACGGCCTCTTTCCGATATGTCGTGGTGGCATGTCGGCGCACGGAAACGTGTCGTGGGGCTGTGTCTTGTGGGTACAGTTGTACACCTCTGATCAGAGTAAAACTATTCGAATAGCCGTGCCCGCGGTTATGGGCGGTCGACCAGATTCACCGTGATTAGTCCCACTTTAATAAATCGACTCAATGCACTGTGGTTCAGGTGGGTTGGTTGGGCCTGTTCAACGTGGTGTAGCGTTGATCAGTGGAGATTTAATGTTACTTTAATTACTCAACAGTTTTACTGTTTTGCTCAATAAAATGTTTTACAACTGTCTTTATGCAAATAGCCACAAACCGTCCTTGTATCCCCTTGCACATCTGCATCGTTGGTGTGGCTTGCTGAGTACGGTGGTTGTACTCAGTCTTGCTATTATTCCCCCTTTTCAGAAGTGTAGTGCTTCTGAGCTGAAGACGAAGTTAGAGGACCAAGGCTCAGACCCCAGTTGAGTTTTGCCTGTGGAGTGGAGCTGAAGCCCCGCTAGGATCGTCTTTTCCGCTGCCGCTGCTTTTGTCTCGGTGTGAGGACTAAGTGCCTCTCCTGTAAGTATTTTACGCTTTATTTACATTTGGTATTGTTTATTACTTGTCGTTTTGTGTACCCTGGCTGGTCCTGGACAGGGATTTACTACACAAAATAGTCTGGAAATTTGGACTAAATTTCTGGGCGTGACATACATACTACTGGAAATTGAAAAAAAAACATCGCTTTTTAAACTTGGATTTTCACTACCTCTGTATTTTTTTACGACGACCAACGTTAAATATTTAGTGAAACTACCGAAAGAAAACAATACTCTTTAAACTGGATTTTCTATTATAGTTCATATGTATTTTTTTATTGTTTTTTATATATTGATGACCAACGTTATATATTTAGTGAAGATGATAGTATAAGAAAAATATATTACTTGACAAAACATACACAGCCAAAAATAGATGTATAATATAATATAAAATATCAAATAAACGTATCATTTCAGAATATTATTGTTGAGTATAGATAGAATTTATTTGTATCAATGGGCCTAAATTGATAGTTTAGGATGAAATAATGAGTAATTAAATATTACTTAAGACATATTGTCAGAAACACAAAACAAAAAATGTATTGTATAAAAATATGTCGAATGTTTTTCTCGCTAAACACGGTTAGGATTTTAGCCGTTAATGACTCAATCTACGCTTTTGATTTGTACTTTTTCTGAGTACATAAATAACAAATTTAAGGTTGAGTTGTAAAGTGCTTATAAAATTGGCTATCCCTTATTTGTCTTGAGCATGTTCTCCAAACTAATAAACTTTTTTTTTAAAAAAAAAACTCTTTTCATGTCTATAATATTTAATAATCAATTAATCGTTCATTAATGGCCTACATCGTTTTGAGTGCCCTACATAATCTCAACTAATGAGATCGAATGTAGCCTAAGTAGGAGATAAATTAGGTTATTTACTATAAAATTTAAAATTAAAGAACAAGTTAACAATATTATTAAAAAAATCATTACAAATATTCTATCGACTAGCTGTTGTTCACTAATCCATACATTTTTAAGAAAAAATCAAATAGATTTTGCCGTCCCCTCCTTATTTTTTAGCTATAAAACTAAAACAGAAACAATCAATAATATTGAATTTTGTTTAGAAACACAGCGCGCATGCACCCTACCCCTTTAGTACCTCCAAAAGACTGAGCCAGTACATTTTTTGATTGACGAAGTTACCACGACGTCTCGCTATCGATGGGTATGTCACCTCGCCATCGATGGGTACATCACTTACCATTAAAAAAATAATTAGCCGTAAATGCCAACACCCGTATCAAATCTAGGACTTGAACCCGAGTGGGCAAGTACCACACAGGAAACGTAACGATTGAGGTGCACTCACTTTGCAATAACTTTGCAATACTCATATGCCTTTTAAATCGGTAATCTATTAGTTATAATCGTTAGATCTATCTTATATATATATAAAAAGCATGTATTCATGGTACATGATATTTCCAAATTTTTACTATGCAATTATATTTCGTTGTTATCATATTCATATTAGGCTGCAAGGAGCCTGTCACCCACCCTACATGAAATGTTCCTTTATGGATCACCACTCAAACTACATCAATCATATTAGGCTATACAAACCCATATATTTATTGGAGCTTCATGTTCCGCCTAATTATTTCTTTAATGAACTATGACAATAGATATGCAATTAAAAATACACCTTACTTTTACTTTCGTTGACATGTTTTCTAAAAAAAATAAGTCTTCCTTAATTTCAAATGATAAAGAAGATTATAAATAATTGCTTATATATATTACTTAAATATGATACAATATAAAATTAATAGGTTAGAAATTTATAAAAGCAATTAATGCCGATGAAAACAATTTATGGAGAAATCGTAGCAGATGTTCTCCGTTTAATACTCGAACTTAGCATATGACATATGCCCGTGCGAATGCGCGGGTTACCTTCCTAGTTAAAAATAAAGATGGAGTTGCTACAAGATTATACGAGGAAAGTTTATATAATCGTACAAGTTACTGAAACATAGAGTTGGAATTTATATTGCGTACCAAATGCCACTCGTACTCCGGGTGTTAAGAAGTTCTTTTGGCATGCTCCTTCAATGGAGGCATTTCCTCGGGTACCCGCAGGACATGAACATTCGAAACTTCCTAGTATATTTTTGCAGGTTCCGTAGCAATGGTAATTCTCATGTTCTTCACATTCATCAATATCTACAGTGGAATATTAAATTTATTTAGAAAATAAAAGAATAATTAAATATCGAGAAATATTCCATGACTATAATAAGTAATTAAGGATGAAAACTATAGAAATTTAACATATTCACCTTGGCAGCCGTGTAATAGGTAAGGGTTTCCTTGGTATCCATGAGTACAGTTGCAGATGTAGCCGGGTCCGCTGGACGAGTTGACGCACACGCTGTTGCTGCTGATGCACGCGTAGGAGTCATGATCTTTCTGCGCTTCCACGCAATTGCTCGCGTTCTGCACAGCCCAGTCAACGACCATTGGCACCCGCCCGCCGTTGGTATCGATGAACTGCGATGAATTCATCACGTAGCTCCTCCGAAAGCTAAATCTTGATGACTCCATCAGCACCGCATAGCTGCAGCTGCTAACATTGTAGATCTGCGTCGTGTTGTAGTCCGGATCAAACATCGTATTGTAGGAGGTGTGTCCCTCGGTGATGGTGGCCTCGCAGCAGCCTGTGCCGGAGCAGGCGCCATCCATTAGGCTCGTCAAGTTATTGCCTTTCGGCCCGCAAAACGCCGAGCACGCGCTGGCGTACCGCATGTCCTCCCTGTCTCCAACTGTGATGTACGCCACCGTGTAGCACCCAACGATTATGAACTTATTCTCGGTGTCGGAGAGCCTGTATGCCTCGGCCGGGGAGGTAGACCGTGTCGCTGGACTCATTTGTCATCCCTTTAGTGGCGCTGTTGTAGCAGTATAGGAGCTGATGTTGTTCCACACCCGTGCCTTACCATCGAGCAGAGAGATGCTCTCCAGCTCCAAGTATCCAACGCTCTCCGTGACCGGTGGCAGGAAGGGCTTCTTGCCCTTGATGGTGTCACGGCAGATGAGCTCGAAGCCAGGCCACGAGCAGCCGGCCTCGAACCCGAAAGGATACGAGATCTTCACGTCGCCACATGCCGTAGAGCAGCTGCTACGAGGAGGTGGCGGCACTAGTGGAGAAATCATCTTTGCTCGGTCGGTCAAAATCCACAATAGTCCCGGTTGCAATAAAAACCGGGATTAAAGATTATCTTTAGTCCCGGTTCAAAAGTTTAGAGCTGCTTTTTAATCTTTAGTCCCGATTGGTGTTGCCAACCGCGACTAAAGATCTATTTCTAATGTTACCAACCGGGAAAAAAGATGCCTACTATCTTTAGTCCCGGTTGGTAAGATCTATTTTTAGTCCCGGTTGGTAATACCAACCGGAACAAAAGATCGTGGCGGAGAGTACGAGGCATCTGCCATCTGCGAGATCGAGGAGGAGGAGGAGATGGCAGCCTTATCTCTTCACCTCTTCACCTTATCTCTTCATCCCACTCTTCCTCTTCCTCCTCCTCTCCTCTAACTCCTCTCCTTCCCTCCCCCATCCTCCCTTCCTCTTCCTCCTCTCTAACTTCTCTCCTCTAAGTCCTCTCCTTCCCTCCCCATCATCCTAGATCGGGCGGCCGGCGGGCGGAGGCTCGGGCGGGCCCGGGCGGCCTTGCACGGCGGGGCGGAGGCTCGGGCGGCGGCCTCGCGGCGGGCGGCGCACCGGCGGGCGGCGCGGCGGCCGGCAGCCTGTGTTATTTCTTTTTAAGAATTTGTGATTCGGATCTGTGTATTTGATTTGTGTGTGATGTCCGTGAATATGTGATGTATTTGTGATGAATTTTGTAGAAGTTGTGATGTAATTTTGTTTTAAGATTTTGTGATCTATTTGAATATGGCCGATTTGGGGATTTGAGGATTTGGAGATAATTTATTTAGGATTTTGGAATGGGGATGGAGTGAAATCAATATATTAAAAACACAATGAAGAAAAGAAAATAATAATAGAGCAACCGGATCTAGCTAGGCTAGCTCTATCTTTGAATCGGGACTAAAGATGGATTTTTACTCCCGGTTTTTTCACCCGGGACTAAAGAACAATATCTTTAGTCCCGGTTTGAAATCCAGGACTATAGGGGGTTACGAACCGGGAGTAAAGCCCCTTTCTCCACCAGTGCGACGAAGCTCCAACAGCGAGCAGCACCGCCAACTGATCTACAGCACAAATCCAAAGTAAGGATGGCAACAATCTCTGGAAATTATGCATGGCTTTCGATTGTGTTCCTCCTAACCAACTGCTGGATGCACCTTTTTTTTCTCCCTTTGAATTGGAGAGGTGGGATTTAATAATTAGCTCTCTTAAACTGTACAAGTACCGTGGATTATATATAAAGTTTTCCGAGAGGACCTAGTCGTATCGTGCAATCATATCATCCTTTGGTAATTGGACTGCAACAGTTCCAAGTCAATGCATTAGAGAGTGGAAACATTTTTTCACTCTGTTTTGCTCCATCAGTTTCATCAGTTTCTCCAGGAGTTTATCCAGCGCGTCGCAATCTTTTCTTCATAGGAGTACTTTTCCAACGCGTTGCATCAGCGCCACCACCCTGTAGACGACCTGCATTCATCCCCCCAATCCCCTCTCCTCTTCCACTTTAATTACATGCCATTCAGCCATTCAAGTTACGTCAAACAAACATTACGAGGCGCGCGAATAGGAACCCTAGCATAGCAGTGCTGGTGTCATATGGCATGTAAATTTGTGCTTACGACGACCTGTGTAAAACGAAACAACAGTGCGACGGATATATATCATCCATGCTCTTACGCAGCCATTTTCTTTTCCAACGTAATGAAAAAGTACATGCTAAGACCCGATCGCACATACAATTAATAAGGCTCAATTTGATGCGCAAGTAGTGATTGTACCACGCTGGCATTAATTTAAAATTTCTGTTTCAGTTATTACTAAGAAATACTATATGAATTTGCACGTACCGTTGACAATATTGTAATCAACTGAGTTGTTACTAGAAAGAAGTCCATTTTACAATATTTGACTTTGTGATAAGAGGAAAAGAGAAGGAGAAGAACGAAAAATTACGTGATCTATTAGCGCATGATTGATAAGTATTTAATACTACCTCCGTCCCTATTACTCGTCGCTTTGACTTTTTATTTGCAATGTTTGACCATTCGTTTTATTTAAAAAATTAGTATTTAAAGTACGTACTTTTGATAATAAAACAAGTCACAAACAAAATAAATAATAATTCTATTTTTTTTAATAAGACGAATGATAAGATATTACAAACAAAAACTCAAAGCGACAAGTAATATGGGACGAAAGTAGTATGTTTTTGAAAGAAAGTTTTTTATAGAATATTTTTGCAAAAAACACACTATTTAGCAATTTGGAGAGCATGTACGTCTAAAATGAGCTGAACTATTATAACATGGTTAATTAAGTGTTAAATATTTTCAACTTAAAAAATAGACTAATATGATTGTTTTAAAACAAGTTTTATAAAGAACTTAACAGTTTGAGATCGTTTGTGTGAAAAATAACAGATTCCTCTCTCTTTAAGCCATTGCCGAACTCAGCCTTATACTGCCTAAAATATCAACATATATAAACATCGAAACGGTTGTGCACTGCACGATCACAAAACTTGGCAAACCGTACACTTCTGAATCTTGTCCATAAGTTATAAGAGTAATTTTGCTTTAAGAAAACCAATTGTTAGGGTGGCATGGAAACACAAACTAGCACTACTTCAAAAGTGATTTTTCTGTACGAGACCCCATAATTTTTGCAAATGGACCATATATAGCGTCTGAAAAATCGAGGGTCATTTTCCAATACGGCTGCTTAAGTGGCCCGTATGGAAAAATCGATTTTCCCATACAGGCCTCTTAAGAGGGCCGCATGCAAGGCTCACTTAAGCGCCGCATGGAAAAATCAATTTTTTTCATACGGGCCACTTAAGAAGCCGTATGCGAAAATAAAATTTCAAAAATTTGAAATTAGTTTATCTTACTCATATAAACTTCAAATTAGATGATTTTTTTCCTAAATGTTTCTAAAATTATGCTCTTTCATGTTATTGTATTCTTACTGCTATTATTTTGGCCATTTTTTCTTGTGACTTTCTTTTTATCAATTAAAAATTTGAATTTCAAAACTTCGAATAATATTTTGAAGTAGTAACTGATTTCAGCTGAAAAAGTCACATCAACAAAGTTATATAACTCATCAAGATCTATAACTTTTATTTTGGTCATTTCTTCATCCGACAAAGTTATTGTAACATATTCTCAAAATTTACATAAGAGATATGTACATATTCTTCATTTCTTCTATTTTGGTCATTTCTTCATCCGACAAAGTTTATAAAACAATAAGAGATATGTATATTTTGTGAACAATGTTACAAAACACTTTTTCGGATGAAGAAATGACCAAAATAGAAGTTATAGATCTTGATGAGTTATACAACTTTGTTGTTGATAACTTTTTCAGTTGAAATTATTTAGTATTTGAAAATATTGTTTGAAGTTGTCATATTTTAAAATTCAAATTCAAACTGTTCAAACAAAGTCATATATAAGAATGACCAAACCAAAAGTTGTATATCTTGATGAGTTATACAACTTTTTATTGATGACTTTTCCATTTGAAATCATTTACTACCTGAAAAATTATTTAAATTTATTATATTTTGAAATTCAAATTTTATATAGTTCAATGAAACTCGGATGGAGAAATGACCAAAAGAAAAATTGTACTCCCTCCGTTTCACAATGTAAGTCATTCTAGTATTTCCCATATTCATATTAATGTTAATGAATCTAGACATATATATCTATCTAGATTCATTAACATAAATATGAATGTGGGAAATGCTAGAATGACTTACATTGTGAAACGGAGGAAGTACATCTTAATGAGTTTTGCAACATTGCTTTTGACAACTTTTTCAGACGAGTTAATTTAGTACCTTAAAAATCGATTTGAAGTTTAAATAGCCGCACGAAAAAAATTCGATTTTTTCATGCGGATGCTTAAGTGGTCCGTATGTAAAAATGTTCTCTCATTTTTACATGCGGTCCTATTAAGAGACCAACATGCGAAAATCAATTTTTGCATGCGGATCTCTTAAGGATCGGCCTTCCCTCTCCACCGAATTTTTCACCCCAACCTCTCAGTACTCTCTCACTTATTAATATTATTCCCTCAGTCCTCTCCTCTCTCAGTCACTTTCTCTCTCTCTCTCTCTCACTAACCGAGAGCGGCGCGGGGTGGGCAGCGGCGACGGGCGGGACTTTAGTTGAACCACCTTCTGGGCATAATATTATTGGAACCAAGTGGGTTTTCAAAAATAAACAAAATGAGGATGATTTGATTGTGAGAAATAAAGCTAGACTTGTTGCTCAAGGTTTTACCCATGTGAAGCTGTTGATCAAAAGGAATATAGAAGTATGATTGGATCATTGCTGTATCTAACTGCTTCTAGGCCAGACATACAATTTGCTGTGTGTTTGTGTGTACGCTTTCAAGCTTCTCCTCGTGCTTCACATCGTCAAGCGGTCAAGCGAATAATGAGGTATTTGAATCATACACTTGAGTTTGGAATTTGGTATTCTACTTCATCTTCTATATGCTTAAGTGGATATTCCAATGTTGATTTTGGTGGTTGCAGAATTGATAGGAAAAGTACTAGTGGAACATGTCATTTTCTTGGTACATCATTGATTGCATGGTCATCTAGGAAACAATCTAGTGTTGCTCAATCAACTGCTGAATCTGAATATGTTGATGCTGCTAGTTGTTGTTCACAGATTTTTTGGCTTTTATCTACTTTGGAAGATTATGGTCTTACTTTTGAGAAAGTACCTCTCTTTTGTGATAATACTAGTGCTATCAATATTGCTAAGAATCTTGTTCAACACTCACGCACAAAGCACATTGATATTCGTTTTCACTTTTTGACGGATCATGTTGAGAAGGGAGATGTTGAATTGCAGTTTTTGGACACAAAGTTGCAACTTGCTGATATTTTCACTAAACCCTTTGGATTCTAATCGTTTTGCTTTTCTTCGTGGTGAGTTGGGAATAATTCATCCTTTTGGCATGGTTTGAGGGGGAGTTTGTACCT